TATAAGAATGATTAATGCTTCAAAAAAAAATTGATTATCTGTGTATATATATACACACATATATGTTATTAGAACACTTGTTTTTTAAAATAATATAATTATGTTCTTTTAATTAATATGGTAGAAATCCAGTGACATAATTATTGCTAATAATTTTCTGGGTGTCAAGCTACTAAAATTTCTCTAGATCTAATTAGGAAAATGCTCTTAATGTCTCACAAATAAGGACATGTTGCAAATAGAAACTAGGTAATCATTTATTTCTAACATAGTGACTCTTCTTTACCTTAGAAGGTGCTGAGGAAGACAGAGATAAACAAAATAAATGACAAGAGGGGGCTTATTTGTGTAAAAGAAGAAGAAGCGAGTAAAGGGAGAGAGGAAAATAGCTTTTTTATCCTCTATCATCTTCACTAGTATGTACAAGTTTCCTACTGGTGAGTGCATATTTCTCTTAATAAAAATTCGTAGGATATAATGATCAAATATTTTACAAAGACTTTCATGATTACATATTTCTAATTTTATAGTAAACTTCTTTTATAATGAGATTTCAATAGTACTTAGAAAAGCAAAGTGGGTCTCTACAATATCTGACACATTAACTTACTGATACTTGACATTCTTTATGTTTGAAATTCCCTTAAAAAAGAGCAAAGCTATTCATTATCCTATTGAGAGTAGACTAATGTAGCATGGATGGCCAAGATGCATTGAGAGGTGAATAGGTCAAACTTTTGGATTTAAATCTATGCTTGTCCCTTGATTTTGACCAGATAAGTCACTAACCTATCAATAGTATTACTAATTTCACAGGTTGTTATTACAGTAAGAAAAAGATATTTTAAAGCAGGTGTTTCATAAAAATATAATTTCAAATCAGAAAATATAGACATCTCTGTGAGAAATTATCTGTAATTTTTAATAGGTCAAACTTTTGGATTTAAATCTATGCTTGTCCCTTGATTTTGACCAGATAAGTCACTAACCTATCAATAGTATTACTAATTTCACAGGTTGTTATTACAGTAAGAAAAAGATATTTTAAAGCAGGTGTTTCATAAAAATATAATTTCAAATCAGAAAATGTAGACATCTCTGTGAGAAATTATCTGTAATTTTTACTTTGATAAAATAGTTTCTTGCTGTGCAAACCAAAAAAAAAAAAAAAAGAAGGGAAGAATCAATGACAAACCCTACAGAGAGTAATCTTTTGTCTAGAGAGAATTTCTTTATTCATACTAAAATAATATGGAATCCAGACATGAGAGCATTTGCTCTTTCTGCTCCTTCCGCCTGAAAAAACCTGCATTTATTCTCATCTTATCTTTCTTTGATGCAATTAAATCCCAGTCATTCTACTTGGAATCGTAGGTTAGGATAGAGAGCTGTGGACTGCAAAGAGTAAGAGTTCCCAGGGGCCCCACTGATGTTATTTAAAACACTGGGCTGCCTCCACATATGACAAACCTAAAGCTAACATCATACTCAATGGGGAAAAGCAAAAAGCATTTTTCCTAAGATCAGGAACAAGACAAGGATGCCCCCTTTCACCACTCCTCTTCAATATTGTATTGGAAGACTTAGCCACAGAAATAAGACAAGAAAGAGAAATAAAAGGTATCTGAATTGGAAAGCAAGAAGTAAAACTCTTGTTATTTGCAGATGACATGATACTATATATAGAGAACCCTAAGATTTCACCAAAAAACTGTTAAAATTGATCAATGAATTCAATAAAGTAGCAGGATATAAAATTAATTTTCAGAAGCCAGTGGCATTTTTATATACCAATGATGATCTTTCGAGAAGAGAAATTAAGAAAACAATCCTATTTTCAATTGCATCAAAAATAATAAAATATCTGGGAATCAAATTAGCTAAGGAGGTAAAAGACTTGTTCTCAGAAAATTATGTCACTGAAAAAAGAAATTGAAGAATATACAAATAAATGGAAGCATATATCGTGCTCTTGGGTAGGAAGAATCAACATCATTAAAATGGCCATATACCCAAAGCAATCTACAGATTCAGTGCAATCCCTATCAAAATATCAATGACATTTTTCAGAGAGCTAGAACAAATAATCCTAAAATTTATATGAAACCATGAAAGACCCCAAATAGCCACAGCAATCCTGAGAAAGAAGAACAAAGTTTGAGGTATCACACTATCTGATATTAAACTATACTTTAGGTCTACAGTAATCAAAACAGCATGGTACTGGCATAAAAACAGACACATTAACCAATGGACCAGAATAGAGAGTCCAGAAACAAATCATGCCTATAGCCTCACTTAGTATATGGCAAAGTAGGCAAAAATATACAATGGTGTAAAGACAGTCTCTATAATAAATGGTGCTGGGAAAATTGGACGGATACATGCAAAAAAAAATGAAACCAGACTGCCTTCTTATACCATATACAAGAATTAAAAAACTTAAATTTAAGACTCAAAACCATAAAACTTCTAGAAGAAAACATAGGCAGTAAACTCTCTGATATTGCTAATAGTAGTTTCTTTTCGGATATAT